TGTGTGTGTGTGTGTGTGTGTGTGTGTGTGTGTGTGTGTGTGTGTGTGTGTGTGTGTGTGTGTGTGTGTGTGGTGGCGGGGGGGGGGGAATACCTCATATCATAATCTGATATGAGGTATTCTAAATGATTTACTAATAGTTGTAAGTAGTAATCCCATATATGACATTATTTAAAGTGAAAAAGGTGAACTTGGAATGGGTAGAATATGGAAGTTTGTGATGATATTTAATTTCTTGTAGTTGATTACTTTCATATTATAGATTATGTTCATATTATATGTTAGTGTTACTTTTTAATAGGAAAGGAGGAAAGAGGATGACAGAAGGAGAGACGACAGAAGGAGAGATGATGACAGAAGAGAGAGGAGAAAAGATGATGACAGGTTCTTGAACTTTATATTATTTTATTATATTATAATTTCATTTTATTAGTGAAGCATGAAGAGTTTCTTGCAGTATGAAAAATTATGATAAGTATTTAAATATACAACTTTTAGAGCAGGCTGTTTCTTTAAATGTCAAAGACTGGATTGGATTTATTTAGATTCATTTACTACATATCGTTTTTTGTGCTGACATGGGTTTGGATGTTGGTCACTTGAAGGTTAGTGGAATCAGGGCTTGTGTCATGTTTTGATCTTGTAAACATCAGTATACAGTAGTATTACTTGTATTTTTGCTACCGTGTTTTCACAGAACAGTATACCATCATGTTTTATACTTAAATCTTTTTCAGAAGAGATAGAGACAGAGATAAGGATAGAGAAAGAGAAAAAGATAGAGAGAGAGAAAAAGACAAAAATCGAGAAAAAGACAGAGATAGAGAAAAAAGAGACAGAGACAGGGATAAAGATAGAGACAGAGATAGGGATAGAGATAGGGATAGAGATAAAGACAGAAGAGAGAGAGATAAAGACAGAGACAGAAGAGAGAGGGATAAAGAAAGGGATAGAACCAAAGACAAGGAGAGAGATAGAGACAGGGAGAAGGATAGAGATAAAGAAAGAGATAGGGAGAGGGATAGAGGCAAGGAGAGGGATAGAGACAGGGAAAGGGATAGAGACAGAAGCTCCAGAGATGAGGACAAAGGTAGAGAAAGAAACAAAGACAGGAGTTCCAGAGATGACAAGGTTGGTAATTAAAAGATGAATTCACTTAGAAAATTTGTTATATACAGATGTCTGTTTAAAGCTGGACTCACTTGCATAGTGGCATTGTTTTAAATTTTGCTTTAGTCAATTCTGTTTTAATAGAGCCATTGTTATTGGCTATTTGCTAGAAAACGACCGTCTAAACTACATTTAAAATGAATGTCTTCAGTCTTTAAACATTTCAGTTGATTCTGATAAGGGCAGTTTTCCAACAGTTCCAAAAAGATATAATTTGTGTAATAGTACGTTTTGTTATCTCTGCTAAGAAAGTAGAACAGTATTGTCAATTTCGGATATTTGCAACAAAACGCAATTACCATGTCTTCTTTGCAGCGAGAGGAGAAGTCATCTTCTAGTTTTAGGGCAAGCAAAGAGGAAGAGTCTGTAAGTATACTTCAAACCATGCAGATTGCCTGTTTCCATATGTTTTCACATATGTTTTTAGCAGCATGGATATAATTTTCTTTTTGTCATTTTTGTTTTAGTTAAATAGAAGTGACATACAATACATTGATCAGTTTGTTACAAAATTAACCAATTCATGTTGCGTTCATTTTTCATTGTCGATGTTTTTGAGAAGTTTTGATTTTGATTTTTATCTGTAATTATTTCCATTAAGTTGATTTGCATGTTGCTTCAAGCTTTATTGAATGAAACACATTACAATGCATTTTATCTTTGCGAAATAAATAATTTACCAAGACCATTTGAAATAATGATAAATCGACAAGTGTCATATTTATCTGTAAGAGTTTAACAGGTAATTTGAAAGAAAAAGTGAGCGAAGAGAGGAAAAAAGACAAAACCCTTCACAGCTTTAGTTCAGCAAATTGCTTATTTGCAGCTTTTTCTTAGTTTTTTGTTAAAATTTTGGATGAAGAACATATAGTTTGCAAACATTGTTTTAAAGTCATCTTACTGCAATGCATGCATGTTTTTTCTTTTAATTCGTCACATTATTTATGCACACGTTAGCAGAGCACAGTGATCGAGGAAGTGTCGGAAAAGTCAGAGCTGAAAGAGGAGAAGGAAGTAAAATGGGGTGGCGCAGATGACGCGGGTGCTGACGAGGAAGAGCAGGGTTACGATGATTATGATGATGACTTTGAGGTACAAACAACAAGCTGCTAGTACTGTAGACACAGTGATTGTTGAATATATTGGCTTGTTTTATTTTACTTTAATATTGAATATTTTGTTGTTTATTAAACAGAATATTGATTTTTGTGTTGAATTGAATGTCAGTGAAAAAAAATAAATGGCATGATACCTGTTATTTGAAGGACAGAAATGCATGTAGGTGGACGGATGCTGTGAAATTTATTATGTGACAGTAAATAAAAACAGGTGTATTGTGCAACATCAAAACTATCTGAAATATTTATGGCTCCACAGATATTAACTTAAAGATACTAGTACACATATGATGATTTTATATAATGGTTATGACTGTTTCTCGTAGGATTATGATGATGACTTTGAAGATGAAGAAGAAGATTCTGCAGATGCTAGAGCTGTAAGTATCTAATGTGACATGCACAGAGCTACTGGTCAATAATTTAGATTTGAAAACTATTTCAGACAATTGTATTGAGCCATATTTCCAGTCAGTAAACTACACTTTTTATTGGATATGAGAAGCAGATTTTATGAAGAATTATTTTAAGTTTGCAGACAGTTGTCAGTTGACAAGTAGTATCTGTGACAAGCAGCATAATATTATTTAATAAAATAATCCTTAGTAAGGCTTGCATGTGCATCACTCAAGTATGCTAGCCAAATGAAAATGCCAACCACAAATTCTTAGGCAAAAATCAGTTACTTATAACAGTTTGTAAAGGCAATGTTATTTCCCTAATTTAAGTTATGACGTAGACTGGACTTTTCATAAAATTGGGTCAGCAGATTTGACAAATTTGTGCAAAGATGAGATGGAGTGCTTCACCAGTTCTTTCATAGAGAGAACATTGTTCCACTATAACAGCAGGGAGGGGGGCACTTGAGTTTTTAGACCCCCTCCCCCCAGATATACCATATACCCCTTTAAGAAAAGCATTCCTATAGAAAGCCTGATAATATAATTGTAATATTACATGAAGAGTGACCTTTGGATGCCCCCACCCCTATATAATCAACATAGCAGTATTAAAGACCCCTGATTTTGAACATTTTTTCCTCTTAAAGGTTCCACTGAAGGGCCTTTCCCCCCGGTTACAGCAAGTGGCTCACTGGAACGCTGACAATGCTGTAACTATACTTCACCTGTTTAGATGTTATAGCCATTAGATACATAGATAACATAGAGGAAGTTATGTACTACTTGCTATATAATATAGATTGTCTGTTGTAGAAGCTGACTTGTGCTTTTTTATATGCTTTTGGTATGCTAATGTCAGGGCATGGAAAGGGCTTTGAATACGTTCTAGACGTATGAACTTTCCTGATATGAGTGTGTAACTTTTCTTTATAAAAACAATTGATTTAAAAAAAGGAAGAAAGAGACACATTTTGAAGTTCTCCCCATTTGTGAACTTGAAGAAGTTTCACACCCTTAATTTCTACTTGTCTTTTAGGGCTTTGTGATATAACCAATTCTATTACATTTTTATAATATCGATTTACAATTTCAGATCCTAACTAACCTTGCATAATTATATAGCTTATAATAAGTAGAAAAATGCTTTTATGGAAGCACTGTGCTGTTACTATTATCTTTCTTATAATTTTAAACTTTTAGTAAAAGATTTGCCTGCTTTGCCTAAAAATATTATTCTATGAACAGTCAACCTTACTTGACTGCTATATAATTGCTTAAATATGTTATAGTTGATTATTCTATTTTTTATTATTGATTATTTGATAAGCCAATTGTAATTAAGTAAAGTTCATCTTTGTTTTTCACAGTAGAAAGGTTTTATTTATTTATTTATTTATTTATTTATTTATTTATTTATTTATTTATGTACTTTCATTTTGCTGTTACAGTTGTACAATCTTAAGCACTGTCCATTTGTATAAAGGAGTTACTGAAAGCATTGCGTCCACATATTCTTATAATTGCTATAATTCCCCATAATGTTCAACCTTTCGTTTCAGACAAGAGAGGAAATGGATGAGGTATTAAAGGCAATGAATGAGGAGAATGCCAGGCTATTGAATGAGTCACGTAGGAGTGACTGGTCCAGTACAGTAAGAATTTTTATAATGTTTTCTATCTGTGATTCACACATAAGTAATTTGCCCAATCTGATAACTCTTCCAATTTATTTTATTCTTCCTGTAACAGGGACCTGGATACAGAGGTTGGCAGTGCTCAAATTTTTATTATGTTACACATTAACATAGTGACATATAGTGAATATAGTGACTATATTTGTGATACAGTTTATGATTAATATATAATTCATTGAGAAGTGATTTTTTTCAGGTGCGCGTTATCTTGGTTATAACATACATGCACACGCACGCGCGCGCACACACACACACACACACACACACACACACACACACACAATAGTGCTGAATCACTGATGAATAAAATATAACATTTACCATGTTCAACTTAGTAGTTTGTTAAATGAACCGCCATCATGATAAAAGCTCAAACACTATATGATCACTATCAGAAATATGAAATGTCCTAATTTCAGCCCGACTCAGACGAGAACACAGACAGCCGGAGAGCAGATCAACCAGTCAAGAGACCAGTTACAAGTAGAAGTCGGGGATTCATCAACTTTGTTTCAGCCAAACAACGCCAGATCTCAGACAAGGCTGCGTCAAAGGCACGACGGCGTGGCCAAGAGTTGCTGCAGCTTATTGAGCTGGATGTGGCAAATTTTAGTCTGTTTGACCTCCCTCCAGTGAAAGAGTATGAACTGTATATGAGGAATTTTGGGAGCATGAATACTAAACAGGTACCAGTGTGAAATGTGTGCCTTTTGTGTGGGTTAAAACAGTTATAAGTCTGTAGATTTATTACAGTCACATTTTTGTATCATTTCAACTGATTCTTCTTCCTTCAAGTGGTTTTGTTTTTTAATTATTTCTGAATTCAGTTTTGACGATACATACTTGATTTTTTTATTTTTATGGTTTTCATAGAAGAGCACATTGCTTTCAAAATCAACTTATTATGCTTCCCCCCCCCCCTTTTTTTAAATTAAAGCCCCATAGAATGAAGATTCATTAAATTTATTTGTTTAATAGTATTTAATTAATTTTTCATTTCTAGTGTTTTAAAGTATTATTTATCATTTTGTCCAGGCCTACATACAGACCAATGAAGACAATATAGATCGTGACATTCAGACAGAAGAGATTGAAACCAAAGAAAAATGGTGCCAGCACCCACCAGAAGACCTAAAGGGATCAGGAGGTTTCACATTAACTCATTTCTCATTTGTAAAAGAATAGACAATTTAAGGAAAAATAGCTCAGTTGGAAATAATTATGAAACGAACTTTAAAACAAACTTTTTTTACCTAAAATTTATTTGAAACAGAAGGACAATAGTTATAATATCATCAAATAATAAATTCTTAGAAGGGTCAATAGAATATATATTTGAAAGAACTTTTAAAATTAAAAGGACGACCGCTTTACCTGCTGGTGCCCCAGTAATAAGGTTTCAATTATAATTGCATTACAGAACTCTCAGACAATTCAGTACTTTGAATTTTTTTCATAACTGTAACTATGACCTTTGTGTTATCCAGGTGATGATGAAGAAACTGAGAAAAGTGTGGATTCCAGTGGGAAAGTGGACTCTGTCAGGCTGACTAAGTTCTTGCAGCAGTCATTACAAGTGAGTAATATTAATTGGTTGATTTATTTTATTTTTTTAAAAGATATAAACATATAAATGGTAAGTCAGTGTGCTTACATCCTCGTGCATTGCTGGTCCTTTTTTAGGCTCAAGTGAAGCTTACTCTCTAAAATACTTACTCTGGGAGCATCCAGTAATATTTTTCTACATCTATCCAAATAGACAAAGTATTATATGCAGTTCTAGCTTGCAAAAACATTTCAGAATAACAGCCAGTATTAAAATTCATATTAACACATGTACATTATTTTTGTTGCCATGAATTTTGTTAGAATAACAGCTAATGTCAGTGTATTTTACGTTATACACTATGACTATTGCAAAAAACTCTTTTCAGAATAACAGCCAGTTATAATCAGGTGCGGATCCAGAGATATTTTCTGACAGTCTTCCAAATTATCTTTCTAGATCCATTCTCCATTTTTTACCCTCTTCTGACAGCAAAAAATTAGATATCGTCAATGTAAACTTTAAAAATCTGATCGTCTTCCAGAACACATTCTCACCCCCCCCCCCCCCCCCACCCCGTATAACCTAATATACTGTTCTCTTAATCCAGGTGGTTGCAATCTTATTAGAAGAGGACCAGGCAGAGAGAAACCAGGTCGAGGTGTTGGCCAGTAGAAGTAACACGTCCTTCAGTGAAAGCACCATATCTCTGACACAGCCATCATTCTTAGCAGGTACTTATCACTTAGCAAATACAGGCCTTATAAACGGATTAGGCATTATTTTTAATAAGGGCACTGCATGTCAATAACTTTTAAATCCCAATAGAAAAATAGAACTAAGTTCTTAACTATTAATATGCACATATGTTTTTTAAAATTGATAAATAAATGGTTATAGTTTCAGTGGTTCAGATAGTGTCAATGTTGAGAATCGGATGTTTTATTGACTTTCCTCTTTAAGTTTACAATAATATTTTATTGTAGACCGTCCAGTGTTACAATGCCATTTCTCACCTGTCCAGAACAACTTACTGTTAGCTGTTCATGGACCTCCAGCAGGGGTGAGTACGAGATGTGATCTACTGTGTTGCATCTTTGGTTGACTTAGAATATAGAACAATTTTGAATTTTGAGTGCATGAATGCTTGCATGTGATGGCTGCATACAGGTGAATTATAGTGTTATCATTTAGAATGATATACTAGTTATTTTGATGAACTCTCTCTCTCTCTCTCTCTCTCTCTCTCTCTCTCTCTCTCTCTCTCTGATATGTAACCTTTGCTGTTTCTTACAATCTTCTAGATCAGATACAAATACAGAAGAGTGAGAAGGGTAAACATTTGGTTCATTAAGTTCCTGTTAAACTGATAAATTATTTGACACCCAATTGAGATTTTATGTGTATGTTATTACTAAATTTTTCAATTGTTATTCTTTTATTGGACTTAGAAAAATTACATCAAAATGCATTGTAGTACATTTAAGTCCAGTAAAGTTTTGATAAAAATTAAAATATTTGTTGGTCTGATACAACTACTGAATATTACATCAAGATCTGTAAACTAAACCTAGTCTAAAGTGCATGAAGCCACTATTTGTGACTTTGCTTACAGTCCATTTGTTGAAGAATTTTAAGCTGATGTGTTAGTACAAAATTGAAATTATTATAGATTGTCTACTAATAAAAATGTTTCTGGTTACTTTTGATTTTTTTTTTTTTTTTTTTGGTACTAACTTGCTATTTTATTAACTAGTATATTCCTTTACCTCATATCATTTCATGCAGTTTGATTAATACTGGATCTGAATGCCATGTTATGTTGAAATTTTGGGAAAAATTCCTTTTTTTTTCCAAGGTCTTTTAAAAAAATTTTAAGATTACAAAATAATACAAACACTTTCAGAATTCTTTTCACTCTAGCATAACCACACACATGCACTACTTACAGCATCTAAAATACTACTGAAAAATACAAGTTGCGTCTAGAGGGATATTTCCTCATTTTCTCATCTTTTCAAATTCCTAGTGTACCTAAAATCATATTGTGATATAATTATCATTAATTTAAGTTAATAATTAATTACGGAAGTATTGCTTGTATTTGATAGGGCTCTCGTATGGAGTTAGCTAACAAGGGAATGATCTCTTTATGGAATACGAATGAACCGTCCAGACCTAAACAGTAAGTATAATGGTTATTACTGACTAAATTTTAAAAAATGATAACCATTTAATGTTGAAACAGTGTTAAGACTTTGGTGCTGTAAATTTTGGCATAGGAAAGGTTATGTACTGAGTCTAAGAAATACTTATTAAATGTGATTTTTCTTTATTTCTGAAATGAGTAATTTAATGGTTAACATTTTTTTTTTTTGTAATCATGACTGTTATTTTTATTTCAATTATTATTATTGTTTTATGTATTGTGTAGGATTGTATTATAATATGAAAGTGATGAATTTTGTCTTTTTTTTTAACTATCCAGCATTTCCTGTATATGATATGATACATTTTCAGAATTCTCACCTGTGAGTCTCAGCCTACTTGTTGCTGTTTTAGTCCAGAAAAAGCCACCTTGGCATTTGCAGGCATGGTGAGTTTGGTGCCCCTCCCCCTCCAACTTTTTCATCTCATTAACATATTTCAAGCTTGATTTAAATTATGCAAGCCCCTGCATAAATTGTTCTCTCCGCCAAATCTTCAACTTCATCCCTTCTTCACCTTATTCTTATGCTGACTTGCTCCAAAGTGTCACTGTTTGAAAATATCCAGACAACAGTCTCTGCATGAATTACACCCCACGCCCCCACCTCTAACTTATTCTTTTCATTCCTATGTTGATATATTTCCACCCTTGATTAGAATTATCCAAACACCTGTCTCTGCACGAGTCTTTTTGCCTCCCCCCCCCTTCCCCCATCAGGTTTTTCACATCATTAAAACCAACAGAGTCTGTTGTATTGGGTCATGTCCAGAACTTATCTCTGATTGATAACTTATCATTTGAAAGACACTTCAGCTTCAGGTTATACAATGATAGTTAATTTGGTTTTAAATGAGGTGAAAAAACATATTTGAATCTTGCCTGGTATTTACGATCTCCTCCTAAATTGACCCCCCCCCCCCTCCATTCCCCCCTAGTTTCTTCACCTCATTCCTATATGGCCATGTTCCAGACTGATGGTTCTCTGGTGGTGTGGGACCTGAGGGAGCCAGCCTCCATGCATCATGTGTACAGAACAAGAGAGGAGGAGTGGCTGCTCAGGAAGCCAACGTATTTTACAGGTATAGAATTAAACAGACCGATATTATTATGAGATGTTATTCACCAAGCTGAGACAGATAATTAACTGAGAATTTGAATTGGACTTGTATCAAAACTGGATTTTGTATAGTTATTAATGTAATGAAATTTTTGCAATAACTGTAGTGTTAGGTTAATTTCTCATTATTTACATTTTTTCTTTGGACAATTTCATTTAGATTTGGACTAGTAGTTTTTTTAATTGATGTATGGTCTGTAAATATAAAGGTACTGGCAGGAACATGTTTCATAGTTCCTATTCTATTTCTTGGTTGTATTTTGTTTTCAGCTGGAATTCTTGGTGAAGAAAATCACCACAGTCCTGTGACAACTGTGATACCTATAGTGTCTGCAGCTGATAGGTAAATAGTGAAGAAAAAACTCTGTAAAAACAGTAAAACTGAACCTTTTACCTACATACTTTTTCTTGCCATGGGTGAACTGGTTTGAAGAGACTGATGGATTTTTGTGAATACTGCCCAAAACATATGAGATAAAGATATTTCAAATTGGTTATTTATTATTAATTAAAAGTCTTAAATTAAGCCTTCCTCTGGCCGGAGTTGAAAAAAGAAATGCATTTCCTGTTGATATTTGCAGTGATTTTTTTCTTGCTATTTTTCAGTGCCAAAGCATCTGTGATGAGTGCAAAGGAAACGGATTTCGGGACAGGCCTGTCATTTCAGCTTGCCTCTGCTGAGGAGAATGCCTGGGTGCATTTATGGGTACGGACTCACAGACTTGTGGTGAACTGACAGCCTAAGACATTGACTGCCTAAAATGTACTAATGTTTACTGAAGAGATGGAGCTTGAGGTTAAAGATTTTGGAAAGTACCCAATGAATTAAAAAACAAACAAATAACATGATCCTTGACTTTTGTCACAAAAGTCTGGGGATAACTTAACCGTATCAGTTATTTTGTTTTTCTTTACTATAAAATACATGAAGTATGATATGTGTTTCTTATAAATATATATACATATCTTCCAGGTGGTTGCAGAGATCAGTAATCCTGATGAGGCTGGTTCAGAGTCAGATCTGGGACTGGCCCCTGGGGGCAGAGTTAAACTGCTGAAAAGTTCATCTTGCAAGCTGGAGAACCCTACAAGGTAGCTTGCCGTGGTGTTTTGTGGGGTGATGATGGCCTTGTTTGATTGAAAGGCACCTGGCTTTGATTTGATGATGATGATGATGATGATTTATAATTAACTTGAATCATTGCAAGTTACCCATTCTATTTATTTATTTATTTATTTATTTATTTATTTATTTATTTATTATGTTTTTGTTTGTTTGTTTGTTTTTGTTGTGCATCTATTTCTTTTAAAGTTATCATTTTTCCAGTCAAATGATCTTTCACCTAAGCAATCAGATAAGATGTCTCAGATAAATTAATTTATCATTTTTCTTTTATTATTTATTATTATTAATTAATTAATTAATTGGTTTCAATTTTCTTTTCCAGAGATGTCAGGCTCAAGTCTAGTCTCCGTGCTCATGAACTGGCCCTCTCCCCAGCCAACCCGAGCAACTTCTATGTTGGAACTGACTCAGTAAGTTGTGGTTAGAGTTTATTTCAGATAAGAACTGCTTTAGACCAAAAATTTACCCAAAATCAGACCACCAGAGATTAATTGATTGATAAAGGATGGAGTAGAATGTATACTTCAGAAAGCAGAACTTATAATTTCAAAGTTCCTTGTGCTTATATATAACTTAACTTTGTGTGTGTGGTACATTGATTAAATTAAGTAGTTTTTAAAGTAGTTTTGCATTTAAGTTTTTAGTTTTTTAAGTAGTTTTGCATTTAATTGTATGATGATTTTTTTAAAAAGCACAATTTTTAGTTTTAAATAAGAGTTATCCCTGGAAGTCTTAGATGTGTGTGTGTGCACTTGCATATCCTCATTTTAGGCATTTTTATTCATCTTACATACACATCACCTTCGCCTGAATCATTTTCATTTTCACTTGGAGTAAATAAAACCGCAGCAGCAGTTTTTGTTTCCTTTTTAAAGGATTAATATCATACGTATATTATCTTTTTTCCAGGGTTATGTGTATCATGGGGTGAGATCTGGTGGCAAAGCTGTGCCCAGAACATATAAGGGAGAAGTTGGTAAGGGCATGGTTGCTGTAGAGCATGAGCATACATTTATTATTATTATTATTATTATTATTATTAATATTATTATTATTATGTAAGTTTTGCCTTATAAGTCAAGTTTACTACCCACGTCTATGTAATCAGGTGGCCCATTTCAGCATCTACAGACTGATACTTTTTACCTGTTACTGTTGTATGAAGCAAGTGAAAACTGTGCCCCCCCCCCTTTTAAGTTGTATAAAACTAGCATTTAGGAGTTGACTTTCCAACACAAATTGTTGGTACCCATCCCTACAACAGGATGAAGAGGAGGCAATGGGTATAAAGTGCTTACTTAATGACACATCATAAGACTTCAACTCTTAAACCCCTTTGCCTTGAATCTCCTGACTCTGTGTGTCCTGCACTCTAAATACCATGCAGACTTCTCCCACTTTTAGTAATTCTTCTTTTCTCAAACTATTTGATACTTACTAAGCATTCTGTTATATTCCAGATGCTCCTGTCCCAGTGACATGTTTAGACTTTCCTCCATTCAGTCACCAGTGTTTTCTGGTAAGATATAAACTCAGAAAAGTGTGTTGGTACAGTCACTGTGTTAGATTTTTAAGCTGTCCTTTTCTTTGCTTAGCTCATTTTGGTTGAAAGAGGTAGAAAAAGAAAGCTCTTGAGTAATTGTTTGTGAAAAAGACATTGTTTTGTTCTAATTTAGATTCATGTCCCCAGGGCATCACTCTACTCTTTGAATGAAAAAGTGGATGAATACAAAATTTAATATATTCATTGTATCATTGAAGAAACTATTAAGGTAGGAAAAAAGTTAACAGAGCATTTTAGCATCTTTCTTACTGCACATTATGTTCTTTTGGTTGTATGAACTTTAATTATCCCATCTTCAGGCTGGATGTGCAGACGGCAGCATTAGACTTCACAGCCTCCATTTGGAGACACCTTTGGTCACATGGTTAAACTCCACCAATGGGAATGCAGTTCAGGTGATACGGTGGTCAAGGAGTCGTCCTAGTGTGTTCTATGTCCTTGATGCAGCAGCCAAACTTCACGTCTGGGATCTACTGAAGGATGATGCTGCACCTGTGAATACAGAGACGTTTAGTCAGGATAGGTCAGAGTCTTAAAAAGCCATATTTTTTATCTGTGAAATTGTAACAGTTTATTTTGTCATGTCTAGAACTTTTCTCTGATTAATAGCTTATCGTAAAATGACTTCAGCTTTAGGTTGTACAATGTTTGTTATCACAATTGTATCCTCAGGAAATGAGCTTCAAGAACATAATTTGAATCTCGTGTCTTGTGAATGATAGTTCCTATATGTTTAACAATTTATATTTTCTAATTATTTTTTTTTTTCAGTTCGTGTACATTTTCGCTGTCTAGTGACCACAGTGCAACAGGAATGGGACTCCCAAACAGAAAAGCTCAGATGGTCAGTACGCCAGCACATTGATGTTATCATTATACAAGTCAGATATATACAATAACCAGTGTTAGAAATTAAGGCTGGACCGTCTGCCCGGGGCTGACAACTTTCAGAACGGGCTGAGAAGTTTTCCCACCCAGCAGACATTCAGTCCAGCTACTTTTCAAGATGGCTGGACTTTCGGTCCAGCAACTAATTTTCCTAAGAGGCAAACACTGACAATAACAGTTTGCAATTATACCAATTTTAATTGGTATTATTGAAAACTGTTATTGTAGTTAAAATATGTAGTTAAAACTATATATGAAGATTTTTATTCATGTTTGGGAAAATTGATTTTTCTATTTATCTAATACAGTAACTTCAAATCATGCAATAATTGTTATCATAAAAAAGTATTAGACATCTGAAATGTCTCTGTTCAATGTATCAGTTGCTGATATGTCTCAGTTGCTGATATGTATCAGTTTATCAGTTACTGATATGTCTCAGCTGCAAATGACCATTTCTGCATGTTGACATTTGGTTCATTGCCAATGGTTTGTTTGTGTCAAAAGCAACCTTAACCTAAGAAATATTTGTTATAATTTTTATTTGCTTAATACTGATATACATTCCAGTCAATTTACCAGTTGAGTATAATCAAGTATGATTTATCAAATTATATTAACCATATTAACAGTATTTATATTATTTGGTGTAGGTGGTGAGTTTCAAGAGAGGAGGGATGGATGTTCACACTCTAAGTCAGCACTTAGTAACACAGCAAGTAGGAGAGCTGGAGGAGTTCCTGAAATATGTGGATAAAGTACTTTAGATTGACTCTAGAAATGTTGTATTTATTTATTTTATTTTATTTTATTTTAATGTTTATGCTCTTTTTATGTTGGTGACCCATTTTTAAAAGAATATACAGCAAATGGCTTATAGAATCTGATGATAACTTCCGTCCAGATGGGATTTTTTAAAAAATTTCTTTACATTTTCATTTAAGTTACTAAATGGGTCTAGAATGGTTGCTGATGGGAGGAATAAGCTTTTGCAATTATTGGTTCAGGAATATATAGACAGGCAAACTGTTGCATTAAGAATAGGAACTGTCAACAAAGTATGGTGTTGTAGCATGCATCTATACTCAACACTGTAGATGTTATAGTAACTACATAGTTATTTTTGTAATTTATGGTTCCCCATTTGAAATTATATTAAGGTGTTTGAAACTTATTATTTGTCTGTGATAATTTAAGCACTCAAATTATAGAGATGGAAGTGTGAGGCAAACTTTTTTATTGAGGAATAAAGTTAACATGACCGAAGAAAAATTTGGTTTATGAGATGTGCTAAATAAAGACCCCATATTGTGTTTACCCAAACAAGACTACTGATCAGTTGCATTGAGTATTGTGATTAAAGTCTGAATGAATAATTAATCATAATACTAGCCATTCTTCTTGTTTTACTTAAATTGTTGTTAATAAGGGAATTCCCCTAGTGCAGGGAAATTCTTCATGTTCACTGTCATGAATAGTCATGCTGGAGGACTCCTGGATTTTCTTGTCATGAATAGTCATGCTGGAGGACTCCTGGATTTTCCTGTCATGAATAGTCATGCTGGAGGACTCCTGGATTTCCCGGCCATGAATAGTCATGTTGGGGGATTTCTTGAGTTCCCTATCCTCCACTGGGGTCACTGGTTGATTTTTCACCACAGTAGATATTCACAGGTATTTCTCTTGCTAATTCATGACACAATTCTCCTCTGTGATTCTCTTGTGCAAAAAATGTACAAGATAAATCAGTGGCCCTGGGAGAGGGTTGGATTTCTTCATAATGAATGAAAAAATAGGGTAATTCTTTAAATTCCCTTCCAGCAGAATTGGAAAGGAACTCTGAGGTTTGTTTTTATGTTGATCTGATTCAATTTCTTGTAGCTTTGAAATTTTATGTTTAATGTGTTCTTTATTCAGCATTATAAGCATATAAGTTTGAAGACAGAAAGTACTGTGAATTTGCAATAGTTTCTTATAACAAAAGTTTCTGTTGTGCATATTTCTTAAATGCCACATTAAGTTGGAAATACTACCACAGGATTGGTTGGTGTTGATGTTATATCTGTTGTATATATTAATATATAATTATAAAGTATAAATGAAATGTGTATATAAGAATAAGATCAACTTGTTAACTTGAACTGGTCAGTCAGTCAATGTTTAAAGTGTTCATCCTAATGGATAATCTAATTATGGTACATGTATGACATTCCAAGAAGAGGAAGATACTGTGGAAAGTATCAATTTTTCATTGTTTGAATAAATCTATATGATAAAAACTTCAGACTTTGGTTTTCTTTAAGAGAAATACCAACAATTATGATAAATATTTGGTTTATATACGGCCCTAGCTGGCACTTTCTTTACAGTATATGGTCATTTGATACGAAATGAATTAAATATTTCATTATTCATTTCATTATTACGTACAAACACACAATATGCATTATTGTAATCAATCACAATTCAAAAATTACAAAAACATTTTGAGAGAAGATTATACTGGTATTATTTGCAAAAACTTAACATATTTTATTGACTTCAATTAAATGTGCCTGTTATGTATTAAATAAAGAAAAAATGGGTGTGTTTGAATAAAAATTCAGACTAAACAAAATGCTGCTGGTTCGATTACGAGATTCCCCCGCCCACCCGCCAGCTTCCTGTGTTTGTTCAACCATTAACCTCAGCAGAAATGCAGTAATAAATTTGAATTTTGTGTACTTAAAAAAGAGCAAGCAACAGGAAAAAATATATACGCCCGAAGAAAATTTGCAGGTAATAACTAAGCAAAGGTATCACCCTGACCATAATTTTAAAATGTGTTAGTTGCGATCTAGTTGTGAACCCAAATGCATCCGTCTTCAAGTGTGGAAACTAGGCCAATCTTCAACCCTGTATCCGGCACCTTAATGCTCAGTCACGCTTCACCGAGCTTGAAGAGGGAGGGATTCCCCTGTAAGACTTGTAGATCGCAGCAGATTCGAAATCGTGAGTTATTTAAATACCCTTTACTACGGGTTTTAGGTGTTAACTAAAGTAATTTTTGTCTTAGTTTGCACACTTATATTGTACGCCAGTGCTTCTTTAAATAGCGCAATGACTCGCTCCCACAACCATATTTATTTCTGACAGTGTAGATAGATATTTTAAAAAATATGTGATCTAGTACAACCCAGTATAGTAATACACCTACAAGTGTCTCGTACAGGTTTTACGCTGACTACAAGTAGATCGAATCAGTGCTTGAAATAGACGGCTTCTTCCGAAGAACTCCTGCATGCCCTGACATACTAGTACCTGTACCAGTACATGTACTGTATTTGCATTACTTTTTAGAATGCTTGGATTGAGGAAGTTTTGAATCCAACATGGCAACGTCTGACCCTTTCCCTGATCCAGACCCTGAGAGTACAGCAGAATCGGAGCCCAGGGCCATGGAAACAGAGGTAGATAGTGATGTGTTGCAGGTGACAGGTGGAAAATGCATGCAATTAAAAGAGGGTGATGTAGAAATTTCACAACAGGTATACAATAATATTACAAAACTATGTTGTTTTTATAGTAGATTTAATAAATTTGATAGCTTACTATATAGGGTACCAGTAAGGGTATTTTCGTAACATATATTGGCATTTTATACAGTAGCTACGTACATATTTTAAAGTCTTTAACTTATTCATATTCAGGGAAGAAGGAAAAGGAAAAAGAAGCCATCTTTTATGGATTCTTTTGGTATGTATGTTTATGAATTTGATAATATATTTCTGATGAAATATATTTATGCTTTTTAAATGTATTAAATTTTCATATTGTCATTTGAATTGAAATCTTTTCCCAAAAATATAGAATATTTAATTTTCTTTAAAGTTCACTTTAAGATTAAAAATTTTATGAAGAAAAAAACAGTATTAGAGAGAGAATTCAGTATGTTTTTCATTGTACATTTCTCTAATTCTAGCTCATTTTTTGCCTAGTTGTCAATTAGAAAGTATATCATTCATGAACAAAATCAATATGATGCTTTTAAAATTATTGCTGAAGATGAATATAGTAACATGAAACATATCAAAGAAATTATATGAATAATAACCTGGTCTTCTTTTTTGTTCATTAAGGATCACTTTTATCCAGAGCAGGAAGAAGGCTTGGGTTAAAAGCTAGAAATTCTGATGATTCAGTGGAAGGAGTAGTCTCACCAGAATATGTAAGATATATGACAGAGTCAAGAATTGGCTGGTTAAAAATGATGCGGGAAAGGCTTCACACCCTTTTACAGATTGATAGGGAAAAACATCACAGTGATGAACAATTGAAAGAAATCCAAGAATGGAATGCCATTGATTATCTTATCCTTATAGATGACAACTTGCTTCCTCCTTCCATAGGTAAATGTCAGAATGTACGTGTGTTACATTTGGGATATGGTGTTTATGGAATCTCAATACCTGAAGAAATTCAAAACTTGACACGGCTTTATAAACTGCATTTGCCTAAGGCTCAGGTTGAAAGTCTACCAGATGCTCTCTTCAATATTGCTGCACTAGAGGATGTCAACCTAGAGAACAACAGATTGACTGATATTCCTGATAGTATACAAAATCTGCCAAAACTGAAGTATTTGAACATTACAAACAATAAGCTTACATCATTCCCTGTACAGCTCTGTAGCTTATCATCTTTGGAAAGTCTCCACCTTGGTTCAAATAAGCTTCATGGCATACCAAAAGAGATTAAGAATCTAAAGAATCTGGGAAGGATTTCTCTATCCAATGCAAATTTGACATCATTCGAGGAAATCTGCTGCAAAGAGATGAAGAAGCTTGAATTTTTATATCTTAATGGGAACCAAATTACAGAAATTCCACAAGATATAAAAGATCTCGTCAGTTTGAAAGAATTGGATTTGTCTGGCAACCAGATTACTGCAATACCAGATGGAATTGTACATTTGGTGGCTTTATGCAAATTATACTGCGCCCATAATGCCATATGTGACATAATGCCCATTTGTCAAAGTGAACTTTCAAATATCGAAATTTTGTCTTTTCATGAAAATGCATTAAGAAGAATCCCTGGTGAGATCGGAAATTTGTTCAAACTACGAGAGTTGTATATGGGAGGGAACAAACTGACAGAGTTACCAGATGAAGTTTGCCACCTTAGTCTACTCCGAACATTAGACCTATCGAAGAACAAACTAAGACATCTTCCAGAGATGTTTGACCAGCTGAAGCATCTGCTCGAGAAGGACATAATCAAACGGGGATTGTCACTTGATGAAAACCCCCTCATTCAGCCTCCAGTGTCTGTTTGTGAGAGAGGCATTGAAGCAATTCACCGCTACCTCAGAGATCTCCGAGCATCTCGTGCCATTAAGACTGCGCGATTACAACTCCACGTATTGGGTGAAACTACAGCTGGGAAAACCAGCCTTGTGAGAACCCTCACCTCGGGACAATCCAGTCTCACTGCAATGGCGGATAGGACAAGAGTGGTAGACCAGGTGACATATACCCCACAGGAGGAAGTCAGCCTCCATATCAATGATTTTGGAGGGCATGAAGTTTATAGAATAGTTCCCAATTTCTTCCTCACCCCAAGGGCTGTGGTGCTGTTGGTTTTAGACCTTAAAGTGTATGAGGAGAACTCCTTTGACATTTTGGTTGGTTCGTGGATTGAATGTGTTCTTGGGAAGGCACCAGAGGCACATCTCATCCCAGTGGCAACACATGCTGATATTTGCACTGACGAGGATATAGAAAGGAAGATTGCTCACCTTAATAACGCCATGGAAACACTGTTGACAAACCGACAAGGAAGCCTGCAGGCGCAAGCTCATAGTATAGCGACAAAGATACGCAGGGTAGAACAGCTACCAAATTTTCAAACTGAAGAAGGGGAGGCTTTGAAGATGGCATATGAAGAAAAGAAAGCCCAGGTGGAGACTCTGCTCACGAAGCTCCCTACAGTTGCACCCCAGCCCTATGTAATCAGCTCAAAGACTAAACAGGGCATTGATCAACTTGACCAGTACCTTCAAGAATTGGCGCGAGACAGAGGGGTCATTCTACCAGAAACCTGGTTTGACATGGTTGATGCTGTACTTAGGGCTCAACTGGAGCCACCTATTTACTTGGATGGTGCAGGGCTGCAGCGACTGTGGACCACCGTAAATGCTGATGATGTCATGGCTTACATGAAAGAGGCAGGTCATGTGATGTGGTTTGAGGACAGCAACAGTCTTCGCCACACCATCTTCCACAAGAAAGAGATCGTGTTAGAACTCCTCAAGGCTGTTTTCCGTCATGATATGGCAGAGGTTGTGAACCCAAACACCCCGCCTTACCA